GATGGACGGACGGACGGACGGACGGACGGACGGACGGACGGACGGAGGGAGGGAGGGAGGGAGGGAGGGAGGGACTCCTGCCACCACACCATCCTGAGTCCATTGAATATGGTAAGTCCTATCCTGCCTTGCAAAACCCCTAGTGTTTTATTATCTGTGAATATTTTAAAATTTCCCCCAAATGCCAATCCAGCATCATTCTATTAAGGTTTATGTGTGCCTTGTTTTTGGTTTTAAAATATATGTTCAAAACAAATGAACAAAATATTATTTCACTAAAGATACTAATTTTCTGTGTGGAATAATGTTTCAGAGGGACATAATTTTGGACTTCTGTTTTAAATTAAAATTAAAACTTTAAAAAGCTTATCACTCACCTGATGGGCATCCAAATCTATAATAGTTGCTTTAGAAACTCCTTCTAGCCTTTCAAATAAAAACTGGAATACAAAAAACAAACAAAAATTAAACGGAAAAGAACAAAGGAAGAAATAACATATATAAATATTGCAGAAATAGTACACTATACCATGGGCTCCGTTTTTTAATCAAATAATTGAAATTAGAGAAGGGCACAAACCTCCGAAACGATATTTTGTGCTGGATTGTCTTTCGGCTGACGATGTGTTGAGGGCTTCCCAACCCTGCCTCCTCCAGCGGGCGTCCACTCAGAGGCTGCGCCTCAGCCTCCTCACCCCACATCCTCACAGCACTGCCTCTGAGTGGGAGCCTGCTGGGGGAGGCAGGGCTGGGAAGCGCCAAACACCTGCATGGCCAAAAAAGAGCTAAACCAGCACAAACGGCCAAACTGGCAGTTGGTGCTCATCTCTAACTGAAACATTAAAAATGGTCAGGAATATACAGTATGCACACCGTAATGATGTGACCATAAAAGCTGAGGTCCAATGTGACATCAGTCAAATGGTAATATTCGGAAACCACTGGGATAGCGTTTCAGCTTCCCAGGGCACCTTTTCTCTGACTTCATGGAGACCATTCTTGAACCAAGGAACCTCAACGACAGGCTTCAGACTAACAAGAATTCACCACGAGATTCAATTCTATCTGCAGTATCTTGGCTTTTTGTCACACTACCAGCAAAATCCAAAGGAGGGGAGGCCTTTAATAGTTAAAAAATTGCTCTAGATTGCAGCCACCTGAATTTACAACCGCCAGTGGTGATCTGGTAGCAATTTTTTACTATTAAAATCTCTTTCCCCCTACCCCTTCCTGGTGAAGCTGAGGATCCCAAGGCCTCCTTAGGGCAAAAGGCAGCCCTAGAGAAACTCAGAACAAGAAAAGGGATTGGGGTGGGTTAGGAAGCTTTTCATGAGTTTAAATGAAATATTTTTAATGCCCAATCTGGGTTACGCCAGCATAAAGTTACACAACTG